TATATATATATATATATATATATATATATATATATATATATATATATTAGAAATATTTTCATAGATTATTGACATATTGATTTATATGTTTTGATTTTGATTTATATTGAAAAAAAAAGAATGAGATTAGAAATATATTTTATACTTATTTTATACTTTAATATTTTCGATGTTTCTTATTCCTGTAATTAGTATAAAATAATTAATACAAAATGCTATTACAAGTTTTCTGTAAAATTTAATTTTTTTTATCCTAGTATTGATATTTTGTAAATTATACAATTAGAATTCTTTTAATTCTCTTAAGATTATAAAAGAAATGATGAATATTAATTGAATATATTTGGAATGCGTTTCATTATATATTGTTTATTTATTTTTATCACAAACATCTACAAGTTTTATCAATTTTATATTTTTATAAATCATATTCCCTATTTTTATATTTTTCATTTTCTTAAATATGAAAAAATCATAGTGCATTATTGATATCAAAAAAATATGTATAATAGGCGAAACAAGTTCATGCAAATGAATGCTCATTTTCACGCGTACAAATTATTAGAAATTAATATTAAACGTAATTTTACGTTAATGTTAATCAGTTTTAAGAGATGTACGATTTAAAATATATTATGTTGCTTGCATTATTTCTTCCATTAATTTAATATAGTTTTTTATTTGATTTAGTTAAGATAATCAAGTAAAAAATTTCCACAGTAAAGTTCAATTTATATTTAATAATTTATAGCAAAAAAATTATAAAAAAAAGAATTCTTTATTATGTATTTATATATTTAATATGTAAAGAATATTTTTTTTTTTACAATTTTTTTTATTTTGCTAAATAAAACAAGCTTTATTAAGACAATCTTTGATTTATATTCGTTCTTAATACATATTGATGAATATTTTATGAACGTTTCATGTACATTTCCAATAAGAGAATACGACGAACATGGGTACCAATGTGACACGTCAGACTTTGTAAGAAACGGAATATTACGACGTAATTCTATGCAGCTTTTTTACATCAATGATGTAACGTGATGGAACGATGGAAATGGAAATGTCGCGATCGTTTTACGAAATCATTAAGCGACAAAGAGGAATTCCCGGATACATAGAAGATAAATATCCATGGAAATACATCAATGAGCAGAATATTATACATATACAACGAATGGATTTGACTTCGTTGATTCACGATATGTGTCGAAATGACGTTAGTTAGTAGACGTTAAATGTGTCTATATAATAAATGGATACAAATTCACCCGTCGCCTATCGCATACGTAAAAACATACAGTTACACATAATCTATACTGCGAATCAACGAAGAAGTGTAATTCACGATTTACACTATATTGTCATCTCTTTCCAGAATCAGACATTAATGCTCCTTCCGTAACGAAATTTCAATCGAGACAGACGATTCAACGCTGCTCCCCCGAATCTCACTTCGGATCTAAAAATAGAACGGCGAAGGGTGTTCTCGAAAGGAATACGATTTCTTTTCCTTCTTTTATTCGGCAGTTCGAACACCAAAGATCGACTGGATACAGATTCGAAACCACGGCAAGAGAGAAAAAAAGAGGAAAAAAAAGTAGAAAAGGGAGAAGAAAGATTCACGGGAGGAGATGTATCTCCTCCTCACCGGTCTCTTCTATTCCATTGGCGGGACTGGCAGCGGCAAACTCGTTACGAAATAGTCCCTAAGACGGGGTGACTAATTGCTAAGCGGCTTGTAAAAATTCGCAGGACAGTCTGTCGACATCGTGGCGCGGCCGTCTCATCGTCGCGCCGTTATACTTTTTGCCCATGCACGGTTGACTAGAGAAGAGAATGACCTAGAGGAAGAGAGATCGAGTGACAGGGGAAAGTGGTAGGAGTGACAAGGATAGGAGAGGGCTGCGGTGACGATGGGGCGCGAACGGGGTGTGGTGGGGGTGGTGCAACGACGGATGCGCGAGGAGAGGGAAAGGGAACAGGCGAGAGAAGCATGTGCGTGTGAGGCCTTAAGGTGAGAAAAGAAAAATGGCGAAGAGAGGCCGAGGCTGCGTCTCGCGTTCGAAGGCGAGAGGGGACGACGCTTTCGCAGATTCCACGTGAGATACCTGCGGCATTCTTCGTTCTGCAGCAGGGCATTAAGCCGGATGCACATTCGTCGTGGACGACGCTCAGTGAATTCATTTCCAAGAAAAATATCTTCCGCCACGAAACGAATTTTACGGCAGATTGTGTTCGCGAACAGACCGCCTCAGAGAACTCTCACTCCTCTCCGCTCCTCTCCTTCCTTGATGTGTGAACAGAGGACACAGAGATGCGTGTGATGTTTTTATTATTATTATTTTTCTTTTCTTCTCCCGTAGACTGTTTCGGAACTGAAAGTTCCAGCTATAAAGCGTCTAATCCGACGATAAACCGCGTGGTGATTCTTTTCCGTGACGTTTACACGTCTCTGACACGTTTCGAGTCGCTGATGCGCACCGAATCGAAAATAATCTTGTGCGCATACACGTCTTATATTTGATTGGTAGCCTCAAGCGACAGTTATGACAGTAAAAGTTCTTACGAATCGTCTAGTTTATCTATTACAATTTATGAAAGAAATATAATTGTTCCAATTGATTGAATGATAAAATAGAAAAATGAATATTGTAAAGGAAATTTTTTCCGACTTATAAAAATAAAAGGTAAGTAAAATGCATTTAATATAAAAAATATTAAAAATAATTTCGAACACATATATAAAAAGAAAGTTTTAAAAAAACGTAAGTTTATATACAACGTAAAAATTCTTTATTTTACTGATAATTACGAAATATAATTCACTGAGAATCGTATTATGCAACAAGTATTATTTATATCGATCGTATCATTCACACATTCTTTAATTAATTTCATAAAATCATAAAAAAATCATATTTCGATAGTGTGTATTTTTGATATACACGTAGTTTCGATCTTGATGATTCTATGATTCTCAAAATAAAGCTATAAAAGTAGAAGTCATAAAGATTCATATTTAACAAATGTTTATATCTGTTTCAGGCACTGATGTCTGCATCAATCAAAATTGTATGTTATACTTAACCTAATCTATTAAAACTTTTATCACTATTCCTATTTTTATCATCCGCTATAAAATTTGTTCATTTCAATGTTTAAAAACAATAAAAGGATCAAAAGGAAGATTTTTATCAACAAAAAAAAATCCAATTGTACAACTTACACATGGAAATTCTGATCAGGGAGTAGTCGAAGATTCAAACTATAGATATAACGAGGAAGAAAAAGGATCACGATAGCGGTCTGCTGGTAGCGTACAAAAGATCACGAAATGATTTATTTCAATTCTGTATCTGTATATGTGCTGGTTGGATTCTGTCGCCTATAGTGGCGCTCGAGAAATGATCATTTACGTGGGACCACACGCCGAATAAAATAAAAAAAGAAGCTTGATTATAAGTTTCGAGAAATGATCAAGTTTTCATTTATAGCTATTTTATATTATCGAATTCTAATTTTTGTGGTATTTTTTAAATACAAGATTTTTAAAAATGATCACGTAAATTAACATTTATTTTTTAATTAAAAAGATAAAATATCTTTCGAGATTGAAAATCTGCATTGAAAAATAAGAAATATGTTGTAAATAAACTAAGCCGTAAAATTAAACGTAAATTATTAATATTATTATTTTTTAATTAAAATTAGGTTCATACAGGAAAATAACAGAAAGAAAGGAAGCAAGATATAAAAATAAGGAAAAAGTTAAAAAACAGATGCAAAAGAATAACTTGAATAACTATTCAGAAGACACGGTTATCACAAACTTAATAGATTTTTGGCAAGACTTAAGGTGGACTAAAGAGATGGACTCGAGATAGAAAAAGAATAAAAAAAAAAGCATAGAAGGGAAAAAATATTTCTATTCAACTTTCGATGAACGGATGTAACGCTTTATAGAGAACCTTTTGCTATCCTTTCTAACAATGATATTTCTCCTCGCGGCCGGTCTTAGAACTGAGAAATAAAGTCAAACCATTGCTCGCTTATAACGTGTTGAAGACACACAATGCTTATTGTCGACTCGTCGTGGAATGCGAAGAGCGAGATATTGTCGACACATGCCAAATGTGGACCCCTCCGTTTTCGACTACATACCAACATTTATGTTGAGTACTATTTCATCCCCTTTTCTTTGCAATCGTCAGAATTTATTTTTTATCAATTAGTATAAAAAAAATATTAATTTATATTTGAGAAAATAATACAATCGTTTAATTTCAATATTATTGAGAAATGTAAATGTTGATAAATATAATTTATCAATTATTTTTTAATAATATCATTGAAATCATATTATATTATATATTATTAATATATCTATACAAAAATTTCCATGATTTAAAAAAAATATGTTATAAAATTTAAATAGATAAAAATTAATAATAAAAATTAATAATAAAAAGGATAATAAGTATATTATTGATATTTCTTTCAATAACTTCAATGTTTTATAATTTCAAAAAGAAACAAATGAAAAATTAATTCAACAAATTTTTTAAAATGAAATATTAATATAACGTGGGATTGATTTAATTTCAAAATATTTTAACAAAATGTCAAAACAAAAAAAAGTTTATTAAAATTTAAATAAATTTTAACTTTAAAAAATTTTGTATTCTTTTTAACGGTTTTACAAAAATTAATACAAACAAATAAAAGTTCGATCTTTGATAAACTTCAAAAATATATTTTTTTAAAAATAAATTCCAGATATTAAATATTGAAGAAAACATATTAATGAAAAAAATCTCACGAGATCATCCAAGAGTTCTATAGGCTGCATAAGACGAAATTAATCTCACATTAATTCTTTTCCACTTTCACTAAAGGCTCAGTGGGCGAGCCAGATCGGCTAGTTTGTCAACATTTTATTGGATACTGACTGAGAAGTATAAAACGCCATTTATATTCGATGGATTTTATGTACTTGTGAGGCAATGCACGTTTTATACAACGAATAAAATGTTCCTGCGAGATTAGTTACGAAAGTTACGAAAGCAACCAATTCCAACGACTGACCGTTGCCTATTTCTTATTTTCAATCTATCCACTGATGCAATTTTATAACTAGCATGCTTTGTGCATTTTCAAATAATATTATAAAATTAAAAATTTTATACCTATTGTTATGTGAAATGATATTTTTATAAATAAATAAAATGTAAGGAAGTATCATCAGAACAAGTCGGTACAAGGATATAGTTATACTACTGAACACATAGATTAGTATTACAAAGATTACAAATATATTATTAAATAATAATATGCATTTCTTTTAGAACAGAAAAAACAACATTATAAATAAATATTAAGTGTCCGTATTTATCGATTAAAATTTAAATATAATTTAAATATGCACAGCAATCATGAAATATAATAGTGGATTGAAAGTTGTCAATTTATCATAATTTATTTCTTACAATATCCGGATAAATGAACTTTCGGCTTTAATTATTTGATATGAAGAGTTTCCTAATCAATAGAATTCTTAGATATATTTCTTATATATATTCCTTCTTATATCCCTTATTCTTCAAGTTTTATAAAAAACTATAAAGATATATTATTTATGATCTGTGTATTCAGAAAAATTTTAAAAGTAATATTTTCTTCTTTTTTATATTACTATTGCTTTATATTATAATATTATTGAACAATTTAATATAATTTTTTTTTTAATTTTTAGGATCTATCTTGTTCAAAATAAAAACTTTATTTTATTTTATATATTCGAAAAATCAAACGAAAATATTTTTGAAGGTATATGTATGCGCACATATTTTTCTTGTATTTATGTCTACATATTTTAAAATAAGCTTCAACATAAGATTTCATATAAGATTTATGCTAGCAATGCTCATAAAATATCGTGATACAAATAACACGTGGTGCATCTATGCCCATAAAATCTGCGCATATATTCTGGAAAGAAAAAAAATTATAATTATATACAATGATTAAATAACAATTCTAGTTAATAAGAATAGAAAAATTCTTAGAATTCTTAAAATTCAAAATTTGGAGTATATATAATCTCCTATAATCTCCAATGTGAATCTTAAATAATCAATTATTAGTTATTATTGGTTATTTGAGATTGGTAATCTCAAATCTATTATTGGTTAATCTATTATGTAACATCCATTTTTTTTTATAATTCGATCTCATGAATAAATCTGTTTATTCGTATATTAATATCACATATGATGCATTTTTACTATTTGATTTAAATATTTCTATATAACATATATTTTACATTTATTAAAGTTGTTTAGCAAAAATATTATTTAAATATTGAATATTTCAACATTTTTTACTTTTTTTTGATAAAAAATATTTAAGCAATAGTGATCTTTGATTAATATTTTCACAAGAAATGCTATTTAATTTACAATAAAATAAATTATCATGATAAACAGAAATAGAAATCCTCTATAATATAAGATTTTGACCATTATCTGTCTATTGACAATTGTTTCAAATCTCTTTTATATTGTGACAAAATTAAACATTTTTACCTGCATTATTCGCTTCATAAATTCCATTAAAATAATTCTACTAACTATTAATAATCATAGAAAGATACTATAATGTGTCAATCATTTTCAGTAGAAAAACAGTATGATAATACTTTTCAAAGATATTCAAACAACATAAAATCTTACGTTGTATCATAATTTCTTCATCATTTTTACTTTATCGTCTTTCATCATCCTTCATCATCTTTCACCTTGATACTTCCATAACTATTAACAGAACAAAATATGAATTTTGTTAAATAATTAATAAATCTTTCTAAAAATACATGATACAAATAGACATGTAAAATAGACCAAAAAATCAAATATAAACTAGATTAGGTTGAATTAGATTAGATTTTTTTTCCTTGAAAGCAAAAGGTTTTTAGAAGGTTCAATTTCTTGAATGAATATCGAAACTAGTCCGTGTCCTCTTTGCCATGGCATCGCAAGGTAAAAGGAACATGCCACAAAAGAAGCGAAATTTTTCGGGTCTTCGTGTTCGCAGGACGAATGGTTTCGCGCGGGACCATTAATCTCCGAGACAATAGCCGATTCTACGAAAAACTGAGCCCCAAACTCCGCAGATCCGATGAATAAAGTTACCATCAATAAGATAAGCGTCGGTAGTTTCACCTGGTCTACCTTCCCTCATCGCTTTCTTTTCTTCATGAACCAAGGATAATCCCCATGTCGAGTGCGGAAGCACGTTCGATCGCATGAAATATAATAAAGCTTCTTGTTTCCAAACACCTTTCAATTGAATACTCTAATATTCGAAATCTTTTTAATAGTCGAATCATTCCAGGATCTTTGTTATGTCACTCAAAAGCGGTGCCGCCAATCGCCAATGTTTTTATTTGTTTCATGCATACACATTCATATCGATTCGATACACGGTTTCTATTTTTAAAAGTAAAAAATTATCGTTAGATTAACAAAAAATACTTTTGTATAATTACGGATAATTAATATTACTAATAATTTTATAAAAATTTATAAATTGTAAATTGGAAGTTATAAATTTGGTAATAAGACAAATGAATTTTTTTTAAATCGATTTTACAATTATTGTCTATTTCTCATAAAAAAGAAGTCTATAATCTCTAACTTCTTAAATTCTCTAACTTGTTAAGTTGCCAATATTAATTATTATAAAATTATTATACAAGAGTTTTAAAGAATTACCGTTTTTGTATGCAACAAAAGAATCTCCTTATATTATTTAATGCCTCTTAGTGATAGATGTTATTATAAATACAGTAATCCTTGGAAATACATGTTTGAATCCTTTATATATCTCTTTTCATTTGTCAGATTTTCTTAATGTATCTCTTTTCATTTGCCAGATTTTCTTAATACATCTAAGTCGTGAATGAGAATGAAATATAGAGAATATTTTTTAATTGTAATATATAACTAACATTTATTGGTTGAAATAATATTGTAATTATAATATATGAAATATAGAAATTTTATATTTTGATGACTCACGCATTTCGTTATATATACACCATCATTTCTCCAATTCTTTCAATTCAATCTCATTATTCCATAATTCTAATACTTGATCCATGCTTTTGATTCATGTACGGAATTTTTTTACTATATTTGCACAAAGAAAAAGAGAAAAAGGGAGATCCCTCTATAATTTAAATGAACCTATACATTCAGGCGTGGACAGCGTGAAAGAACACGGGTGTGTATGTAATTTTACAACGCGCCATGAGGTGTAAATAATGCCTGCCATTCGGTACCGGGATTTCGGTAGAGATCTCGTGGTCCGAAAAACAGTTTACGACGTTCCGGCGCCGCGATCGAGACACCTGTCTCCACTAAGGCACAATGCGTTACATGCCGCCGATTCTTGAAAATATTTCATCCCTTTTTGATCGCTCGTTTATTCAATTAACAGAATGGCTAGTGAACACATGCTATGCTAAATACTTCATCCATCGTTCATCTTATTACATCATGGAATCTGAAATTTTTAAAATTTATAGAATTCTGAATATCTATTATAAATTTAATGTATAAAACAAATTTATAGAACATTAGAAATAAAATAATCTGTTATAAAACACCATTAATATTTAGTAATATTTAATAAAGATTATTAAAAGTTCACAGAATCCAACAAATTTAGAGAAGAAAAGAAGGAAGAGAGGAAGGGAGGAAGCGAGAAAATCTATACAAATTAGTATAATAAATTTTAGAATCCACTAAAAAAATTCCAAGAAAAGAATCCAGATAGTTCTAAAAGTGTTAAATTATTAAGATCATTAAATCTCTTGAATCTTTCACATTGTCAGCTATGAGTATCACATAGATCTTTGAAACTTTTATATCACATATTAAATTTTAATGTTATTCTTTAATTTATTGTATCAAATTGTTCGAATTCTGATTCATGATACTTAATAATCATGAATCTTAATAATCTAATATTTAAAAATAAAAAAAATCTTAAAATCTTATCATAAAATTTCGTTCACATTTGAATTGCATTATTAATTATATACACTTTCTAGAAACGCACAACATTTTTATTTTACACAAAATCTTACAAAAAAAAAAAAAAAAATAAGAAAAAAAATGCACAGGTACAATTAGAAATTAAATGCAATACTGTTTATATAATTTATCGACGAAATCTGCGTGCGTATCTAGAAAATACAGACGCAAAAGGATCTCGATTGGATGCAGTTGGCGCGTATGTTCTGTTTCGACTAAGAAATTACGTTTATCGCAATAAGTCGATAGTGCGTTTTGGATTGACGCCAGTTGCGCAAATTTCTGAAATCAGACCTAGCCAGATAAATAAAAGACATTCGCCCTCTGAACAGGCGAATTTAAACAAATAAAAAATAAAAATCCCAATTATTTAGCCTATAATTAATGTCACAATTCCGAAATGTCCATCGATAAAAATAGAATTTTATTTTTTCTTTTTAATGTACTGTTTCTGGAAAAGATGAATATATTAAACAAATATGTTAAATAGGTATATATATTAGAAAGAATTTACATGTGAAATAGCCAAAAGATTTGATATAACTTATAGATATATTTATTATAAATAGATATATTTATGTGTCAAATTCATATGTTTTAAGTTTACATAAAAAGTTTATATTTTATTTAAAGTTTTAACAAATATATATATTTACATATTTATATATTCTATATATATAGAAACATTGGTTAAATAAAAAAACATTCAGAAAAACAAAAAAAATTGCTTTCAGCAATAAATAAATATCATAGAATTATATATTTTAGATGATGGTTAAGTAATTATCTCATAAATTATAATATATTAGAATATATGTATTGTTTTTAAAAAAAATTCATTATATAAAAGTAACCTAACCTGTCAATCTCATTTTTCATATCGCCACGAATCTTACAACAATGATAGAAGAACAAACGCGTTAAATAAGCATTGTCTTATTATTCACATTAATGATTAATGATTGCATATATATATATTTTTATGGAATATTAAGATCAGTTATCTTCGAGACTGAGATTTATTATTGTTTGTTGTAGATCTGTTCGCTATCCTTCCATTCGTTATAGTTAAATCGAGGGCGGCGCCACATCCCTATATTTCGAAGATATTTTGCGATCGTGCTGGCCATTTGGTTTCAATCTTTACGAAGAATTTTCAATGATAAATCTAGCCTGCTGGATATTTCAATCATATTATAGAAAAATCTAATAACTAAGATATAATTGATAAAAATTATTAAAATAATTTAAAATGCGAATAGTTTCTTGAATAAATTGAGATTATATACTAATACATGATATTCAAATAATAGAAAAATTTGCTTATGAATAGTATTTTATTTACAATGTCAAAAATTCATTATTGATAATTAATAATCAATAATAATAATAATAACTATAATTGAATAAGAAAAATTTAAATGAACAAACTTGATATGCTATCATCGTAGTTTTTATTTTTCCTTTTTTTCTTTAAATCGAAGAAAAATGCCATTTTCCGTCAATATCGAATAAATATTTACATGAGTCACGATTTGCCATGTAAACCAACAATTAAATATAAATTTATGATTAAATATATAATAAATATCTATAAATACTTACATTATATTAATATGTTCTTTTTATTTTATTAATTTCGCATATAATATTTAATTTCTCGAATATGATTGAAACTTATCCAACAATACAACTCGATTCACTATAAACATATATAATTATAATATGTCAATTAACATAATTAACATAATTATCATAATTAGTATGGATAGGAAAATAATATTGAAATTTATCTCGTCTTTTATTACGCAATTTGATCAAATATGTATATTAAGTATTTTTATATATCGCAACAATAATCTTTCATTTGAAAATCGATTAATAATGTTTATTTGCGTTTCCAAACCAAGAAATATTTGGAAGAGCGACGCAATGTCATACGTCATAACAACCATAACCTCGTTCTAGACACGTCCCAAAAATTTTTGCACACACCAGACATAATCATATAGTAGATTTTTCAGAAGGCGTCTCTGTGGAATCTGTGTCACGTCACGTAAACATTCTATAATAATAATACACTATAAATACACTGCACTCGGCAAGAGTAGAAAGGGAGATAGAAAATGAAATACTCACCTCGAGACAGAGAAAAAGATAGAAAGAGCAATATATGCAGGCGCCGGCGCCGTCGGACGAGTACATTACACGCGCCAAGGAAGTATTATCCGTCCCACGTATTCAACATACATATTCGCTTCCTCCCTCTTTAGTTGTTTCCCAACAAGTCATACTATTCCCGTTCCTCTTCCACTCGTTCGCCTTTTTCAATCACATATATTCTCATCTCTTTCACACCTTAACCTCTTTACCGTCATAACGTTTGTTTTTTCTTCCTCTCTTCCAATCCTGTCTTCGTTCTTGTCTTGCACACGTGTCTCACTACGTCGTCACAATATTTTTTTATTCGTTGTTCATTCAGCCCTCTCTGTTCCTCTTTTCCCTCCAGGAGCGACTTACTCTCACGTTCTTCGCCAAACTGACCAGATCATGGGCGCCGTCTGTTGTAACTGGCTCGGTTGAACGACCAACCGGCTCAATCTCATCTTTCCCCGCCCTTCTTATTTGTTTCGCGACACCCAGGCCACAGGCCGACACTCGTTAGATGTGAAATCGATCTTAATTCACGTGGAGTCATGAATGACCAGCACGAAATCGAACCTTGTATCGCGTCGCGACATGTCCACTTGTCATCGATATCTCGACATCAGTTGATTTAGAGATATGGTAAAGCTAGTTTTTAAGAGAAGCTCAACGCGATCGATTTAGAAAGCAGATGTAATATTTATGATAGTCATATCTCTTTTCCTTTTTATTGGTCCCATAATCTTTTCTTCGTTGTTATTTTTTTGCAGAAAGATCGCATTAACATTATCACATAATACATAAACATTATCGAAGAAAGATAAAGTTCAATTTAAAATTTCGTTTTTGATGAACTAGTTCTATACAGATTCTTTTTTTGAAATGAAACTTTTCTTTATTTCATTCGTTTTTTTCTGTTTAATATTTATTAATATATTTATTAATCTAAAAATATTTATTAAATTTATAAATATTTATAAATACTTATTTATTATTTTCCTGTAAGTTGTTTATTTATTTTCTTATTTTTATAATTCGTAAAAAAATTAAATTAATTAAATTAATAAAAAATAATTAATAGTGAATCTAATAAATTTAAATTCTTGATATACAATTTAATTGAAATTATTTTTCACATGAATATTTAATTTTTTCCATATATTTAATAAATAAATGATATTTGAATTTTCACTATTTCTATTTCTACTTATAATACTTAAATTCATTATTTGAAGCCACAGGATTAATTCTACATAATAGGATAATATAATAGAATAATAGAATAATAGAATATAGAATATAGAATAATAGAAAATAATAGAAAAATTATATAGTCATTTTTTAAATATAATGATAAAATTATGAAAGAAAATTTTAATCAAGATAAATGTAAAAAAGATATATTTTTATAATAACTATATAAAAGACTTTCTGAGTATTTTAATAGTCAAGCATTGTCAACATCTTTTTTATCATGTATTAAATACAGTATTAAATACACATATGTAAATAAAGTTTCTTTAATGTATGTGCATAATCACTTTAAGTACGCACCCTATGATTTCCAAGTTTATGTATTCAAAGCAGAAATATTCGCCCTTCTATCTGCAAATATATGTTCGTGTAGATCTATTAATTCACGCCTCTGGTCACGCATACGCATTCACATATTCGTTTATATACGCTTTGATGAAATTATCATACATGCATTTTTGCCTACCGATCATTTTGAACTATTCATTCTAATAGTGATATTCTTAGAATCTGATTGATATATTCTTCGAAGATAAGTAATTGGATGATATTTACATATTTTGTAAAAAAATTTAAAACAAACTAAAAAAAAATAATACAATAATACAATAAACTAATAAAATTTCTCTTGTATTATTTATCATTATAAATTTATTATATTTTTTTTTCATTATTTCTGATAAAAAATAAGTTACGAAATTTGAAAAAATTTTTATATTATTATATATTATTTATATTAAATAATCGATTTAAATTTTGTTTTATTGTATTTTTTGTTGATTTATATATGATAAACACAAATTTTTATATAAGAAAACTTTGCAATGAAGTTCACCGAATCATTCTATAGATGACATCCAAGTTTATATATACGCAATGAATTTTCGATATCGACTTACTTGAAAATTAAGCTTTTTATTAAAAAAATGATATTTTACATTTTCAATTTTTTTTTTTTTTTGACTCATATATACATATATATCTGTCATATATTTCATTTTATATCTTTCTATATTGTTCTAAAATTCAAATAAAATATGATAATTCAAATGTTCGGATTAATGTCCAATAATAAAATTTCTGAATGTAATTTCTGATGCAATTGCATTACCAAATTTTCACGTACAAATTCGTGCAACACGTTTACCATGACCTATTTTAAAACAAATTGTTCAATAACTAAACAAACATAAATTATAAGAGATTTGTGAAAATTGATGTTATTGATGATATACGCACGTTAAAATATTTGTTCCACACGGTCGTCACCACGTCGATCTTTCTTCGCCAATTTTATGTCCGGATTCGTTTCAGGCCTCGTCTGTACACTGTTTATGTAAATTTCTTGCGTATGTACCGAATGATTTATACCTAAGTGACCGGACGTATATCGAAAGGTTATTCACGTTGTGCGAACATTAAAATCACCGACGTGACGAAAAGTCAATTCAGTGTTTTCGTGGAGAAAGTTATCTCCTGAAGGATCCGGCAGAGGCTCTGCGTGCACGTAGAAATCAATGGCTCATAATTTTACGAAGCATATGAAAGGAATCTTGGACGACCGCCGAGTTTGTTGTAAAGTACACAGCCAAAATTGACTGCCGATATTTCAGAGACCATCTAAAGGGATTTCACAAAAATTTTGTTAATTTCTTTTAACTTTAAAAATTGTAGTTATGAAATATCTAATTCTTTAGATCATTCGTAGCATGTAGCATGCCCATAAAAATTGATTACGTAAATAATATATAATAAAATTTTATGATAAAAATTAAATACATATGTATATGTTATTTTTTAAGATGGAATTATAAATTTGAAATTAATTTGTAAAAAAAATATTATGTTAATTTTTATTTGTAATAAATAAAAATATAATAAAAAAAGAGATAAAGAAATTATTAAATAATAAATAATATATGATAAAAATAATTATTTAGAATTTTATTATTAATTAAAAAAATTTTTTTATAATTAAATTCAAAAAGAGATCTTAATTATCTTAATTATCAATGATACATCTATCAACTAATATAAACACACTTTTGATCGTGATCACAGTATAAAAACAAAATTTATTTTATTATCTAAGTGCAGCATATCCAAATGGATAGCCTATATCAGTAAATTTGGCCGAACGACATGAATTACATGGAGTTGTAAAATAAATTAAATGCATGGAACGCATAGAGAGCATGATCGGTAAATCATGTAGTCTAAGTTCGATCATGACGCTTGCAAAATTGATATCAAACTCGTAAACCTATTTCCGCTTTTTGCAGTCATGAAAATTCTTCAATCGTAAATGGTGCGATTATAAATAATTTATCGTTTCAATGGCGCCAATTAATGATCAAATAAAAGACGATGGAAAAGCCCATTTTCATCAAATGAACAACGCTGAAAATGTCAAAGGCAATTCTTACGTACAAACCGAGAAACATTTATTTCTCAACGATCATTGCTTCCATTAATCAGATTTACATGAATGACAATCAATTAATAGTTGAATTATGCGGCATTCTTGCACGTCGTTAGAATTTATCTTACATTAGATATTGAATTTACATTCTCCATGTTTGTTTAGTTTTATATTTCCTATTTAGCACATCACCCACATGCATAACCATTATCGATATACGAATGCGACGTGATTCAACATTTTAAAGTGCATACATATCGATGAGATGAGAATATTGGCGCCATTCTTGTGACATTATGCATGTATGACGTGTATATATATATATTTGTTACAACTTTTTTTAATGATCAAAACTTAATTAAATAATATATTTTGAATTAAGTAACATGTCTTGCGAGAATTAACAGAAGTATGGAAACATTTTGTCCCTAGTAGATATGAATTTTTGGGCAATAAATTGTTTTAACATTGTATTTCATTCTCATTTTTCATATTCTCAAAAATAATCAATCAAATCTTCATTTTTTTTAGAGAAATTTTTCTGATGAATTCTATTTTTTATTTAATAGAAAGCAGATTTATTTTATTTGAGTTTTAGTATAAATATAATATTTAAGAAAATATTTACAAATAAAATTAAAAATTATTAATTTAACTATTCTTACTAAAAGTGTGTAATAACGATTATTTAATAAATTATTCATCTTCATTTTTAAAATTCTGAGTATTAGATTGAAAAAATCATCTCCTTGGAATTTCGTCTGGCAACGCAACAACAATCTGGCCTCAACTTGAAATAATATTTTTCCAATGTCCGAGGAAAATTGATAACCCATGCGTCGATGGGAAAACACAGATGATCGTGTAATTCAAACAGTTTATCATACAAAACATGGAGTGGTCCGATTGAATTTTTAGGAATTACATTTTTAGCAACATCATTTCACAAGAATAAGATGCCAACGATAGCGACATGCCAAAAAAAATCTTACTTATATCATAACAATGATATGCAATAAGCTTATAATTTATATTATATCCGAAGATTATCCAAATTTCGATTTAAAAAGATTTTCAATAATGAAAATCGAAAGTATTAATATTTTTATTTTCAATACTAATAAATCTATTCTGAATATTTTCTTTTAAGAATAAAAAAATTACTTTTAAAATACGATGAACAAAAAAAATATTATATATAACATATATAGTAACAGCTAAGAGATTTTGCATTATATATATATTTTTTTAATTTAATATCACAATATTGAATAACATTTTATAATATATATAAGTAATGTTTGTATATTGTATATATATATATTGGCACATTATAAAACGATATTTCGTCATAATTGCAAAAAATGTTTTCTAATTTATATTTACGAAATATAAAATTTTCGTTTAAGAAAAAAAAATTAAAAGGATTCACATTCTGATATATTACTTATACGATAACCTCGAAACTAAAATGATAATATTACATCTATATATATTGTCGCGCAAACAATTATTATTTTTTAAAAGATTTTCGCTTACCTTGTTGTCCGTAATTGACGAACTTTTTATTTACTATTTGCTATTATTCCGTAATCAACGATTTATATAGAAATTGTATAGAAAGGTACTCGTAATTTGAAAGGTCATGATGGTCGAACATTATTTGTTCGACAAAAAATCTGGCGCCGTCTATATCTATCATAAACAGTTTCGTCTGACATTTAATATGTAATCGTCATTCTACAGGTTCATAATTTTAAAATATAAGAGGCACCGATTTTGTTTTTTTTCATAAGTTATATTTATATTTCGAGTATAATATACGGAACCATAAATATAATGACTAGTAAGTAAGTTAAATAAATACGAAAAATAGTAACCCTGTTTGATTGATAGCGCCATCTTTTTTTTTGTAATTGTAGTTTTCGATGAGATGAGAAATAGAATAGATTATTACCATATCGGTATTATAGTTCATATTAATAAAATTTTAAATTTAGTATAACTATAATGAAAAATGTATATATATATATATATATATATATATATATATATATATTATATAATAA